GAAGTTAATCCAACAAGCCAAGTAATAGGAAGTCAAGGCCCTGCTCCAAGTCAAGACGTTGTGAGCAAAACCCATGTAGCAAATGAAGAAGCTGGTACTCAGCCATTGTGAAGAAGTTGCTCTGGTTTGATTTTTTGGTTTGAGTTAGGATTGACCTTTTTTTTGTTGTTGTTGTGATTGGAAACATATTGGAGAGGCATGGAAGAGATTGAGAAGGAAAGCGTCATTTTTTCCTTGGGGCAAGCGTACAATGCGTGTCTGATGGGTTGGTTTTTTTCTTTTTACTAGTATAATATTGGGCAGAGATTACGGTACAATTTTATCCAAACAGTATTCTAATACCATGAGGGGTATTCTAGTCTATGCAGAAGTATTGTTATATCAGGGTTTAGGTTTTTTTGGATTTTTGGAGTTACGTGAAACTAATTTGAAACATAAAAGGATGTTTATGTAATTTTCAGGACCTCAAGGAGTTTGGTGAAAACACGAAAAACCTCAGGGGGTGTTAGGATAAAAAAAATTCCCAAATTTTCACCTATTCGTTTAAATTCTATTGTACTTTGACCATATGGCACGATGACAAAATTTTTGAAATTTAGTGAACCACTGTTTAGAGGTTATAGTACGGCTCATGATACGAGCACATACGTGCAAACTGATCTTTAATCGAACTTGAGGCTCAACTTCAATGACCCAAATTGTAACACCCCGACCCAAGTTTAACCATTTATTTAATCTGTTTAATTTATTTAATTGTGAAATTACAATTTTACCCTCGGAGTAAGGTCACGATAGTCCCTATTCGACCCGTAAGGATATTTCGGATTTGAGTGGCACCGTGGCGTAGAACGCGTCGATAAGAGTTCGTAGACACGTAGTGGGCCCAATTTCGGAGTTTTAACGAAGAAATTATGGGCAACGGAAGTGCAATGGCACAACCGTAAATATTTCGAAGTCAGATTTTTAAAAACCAGTTAGCCTCTCTCTCTCTCTCTCTCTCCTCTCATGACCCTTTCTCTCTCTCTGTCACATAGCTACGTATCCGACGTCAATTCCGACTTCGCTCGACCACCGTTTCAGACAAAACGACTTGCAAAATCTTCGTCCCTTCCTCCTCTACACGTCCATACCCATTTCCACCTTCGAAACTCTTAGATTGATCGCGATTTTCGACTGAAACCGAGCCGAAAACCCCGTTAGTCGACGGAATTGCTCGTGTAATTTCCGGCGATTCCAGCGGCCAAAATTGTCGAACCAGGTATGAAACTTCATCTACTCTTCGTGCTCTACCTGTTTATGTGCTTGATTTGGGTTAATTTTGAGGTTTTATAGATTGATTCTTAAACCTATTTGTGGCCGACCGTTTCGGCTTCGATTCGGCTAATTCTAGTTAGTCTTTGGCCTTGTTCCAAGAACAAAAGTTTATCTCCTAGTTGTCCTGATCACGTAGGTTTACGTATTGTTGGGCGTTTTGAGAATTTTCTGGTCCCCGAAATTTTCTCAAGACACCCACGCGTTGACGGCACGTGTGGCGGCGCGTGGGCCATGGGGTGGTGGCCCATTTGTCTTAAAATGTTTCTCATGTCGTCCCGAGCATGACGGTATGCTCAGATTCAAATTTGATTATCGTTTGACGGTCGAATGGATTTACACATATTAGGCGATATCCGAGTTCGATATGTTCAGACCATTGGATCAGCTCCATTTTAATTATTCATTTAAATTATTTAATTTAATTAATTATTAATTATGAAAATACAATTTTGCCCTCGGGGATAGGGTTATTTTGGTCACTTTTTAATCCGGTAGGATTTTGGGGAATTGAATGGCACCAAGAATAGATCACGTCAATACGAGTTCGTAGGCACGTAGTGGGATTAAATCAGAGTTGTAACGAAAAAGTTACGGAAGTGCAGTGGCACAACCGTAAATGTTTCTAAGTCCAATTTTAAAATTCAGATTTATCTCTCCCTCACGATCTTCTTCTCTCTTACAGCCGTCGCAGTTTTTGGGCCACCACCGCCACCTTCGGCCACCGCTTGCGCTGGGACCGGTCCCAAAATGACTGGCCAACTTCCCTCTTCCTACCCCACCCCACCTATGACGGAACCGCCACCTACAATCGCTAGAAAATATGAAAAAGTCGACGATTCTGACCTAAAACTTCCGACGTTTGTTCCTGCGATTCCAGCCACCATTTTTATCGATCTAGGTATGCTTTCTCATCCTCTCAATATGTTCTAGCTGATGGTTGGGTTGATTAAGATCGATTTTTGCATATTGGAACTCGATTTATAGCTTAAAGTTTGGCCGGTTTTTGGCTTGTGATTCCGACA